TTTTTTTTTTTTGTATTTTAGGGAAGGGTCTACAGGGTGTTCAGGGTCTCACTACTAGATCTGACTCATAGTGACCCACCCGTTTACAGTCTCCCAAGAGCTGGGATTACAGGGGTGTGCCACCATGCCCAGTCTCAATTGCAGTCTCAACGTGCTCCAGGGGCAGGGCCGGCATGGCAGGCCTGGGGATCAAACCCCTGGCCCTGTGCCTGCTTGCAGGTGCTTTAATCCACTAAGCTATTTGGCCGGCCCTGAGCCAATGGTTATACAACTCTGCAAATATTCTAATTATACAGTTAAAACAGACCAATTTTATGGTGTGCCAATCATATTTCAATATAGCCATTTTGAAAAGGAAAACAAATATAGCTCCCAGACAACTGCATATAAATTTGCTGTGCAACTCACCAGCTCCATTTCTATATACCTACTTGAGAAAATAAAGATGAGACTATTCATGGCAGCATTTTTTTCCAATTTTTAGTTTTCATTAGTGCACGTCTGTATCACGTAATGATTGCATTTCTCATGGGGACTGGTGCATGGGTATAAAACATCTCATTTTTTAAAAATCTTCTTCCCCATCCCCTGCCTTCCTTAGTCTCCTTCCCATTTACAAAAGACCTATCTTCCTGTTTCCTATTACCTTTTATCTTGCTCTTTATTTATAGTTTGGGCTTCTCTTATGAAAGAAACTGTGTGATATTTAAGCTTGTGTCTGATTTATTCCATTTTACCCTATTGTCTCAAGGTGCATCCATTTTTCTTTTTTTAAATAGTTCTATTGAGAAAGAAGTAGAAATGAGATAGTTTCAAAACAGGTTAGTAGTACAGTTACAATAATTAATACATTGCATATTGTTGTCTTCATAGTTGCTATTCATAGTACAAGATGCAGACATGATACCTTGTCTAAACTCTATTAGTTCAAAACTTTCTTCTCATTGAACTAAGAGAAAGTAGCTGTATATCTATGCTATTTTGTATATACATATATATTTTTTTCTTTTTCTTTTTTTTGAGGTACCAGTGATTGAATTTAGGACCCTGCACTTTCCAAGCAGGTGTTTATTCTACTGAGCTATCTCCCTGGCCCTATATATATTTTTTCTACAGAGGCATTTCTTCTTCTTCATGGCAGAATAGTTACTCCATTAGGTCAATGCCACATTTTCTTTTTTAAAGTAAATAATATTATTTTTATTATTTAATTTTATTTATTTATTAT